AAAAGAAAGGAATCCAGACTAAGAGGTAACAACTCTTATTTGATAACATCCTCAAAAGTTGATGATTATGATGATTCCTCTAATTAAATGAGCACCCACCTACAATAGTTCCCATGACCCCATAACAATGCTGTGAGGTCAGGAATGTGGAGGCTGAAGCTCAGAGAGGTGAAGCAACCTGGCCAAGGGGACACAGCATGTCCCTGATGCAGTCAGGTCTGCCTGACTCCTGTCTGTATCCTGTCCTCATGATAGCAGGGGCTGGACATTTCCTTAAAGGGTCACATAGCAATTTTTTTATTTTTTTCAGACAGAGTCTTAGTCTGTTGCCCAGGCTGGAGTACAGCGGTGCGATCTCATCTCACTGCAATCTCCACCTCCTGGGTTCAAGCGATTCTCCAGGTCATGATGACTTTAAGAATCTGATGAGGGCCAGGCACAGTTGCTCATATCTAAAATCCCAACACTTTGGAAAGCCAAGGTGGAAGGATCACTTGAGTTCAGAGGTCTGAGACCAGCCTGGCCAACATAGTGAGACCCCCATCTCTATAATAATTATTATTATTTTTTTGAGACAAAGTCTCACTCTGTCACCTAGGCTGGCGTGCAGTGGTGTGATCTTGGCTCACTGCACCCTCCACCTCCCTGGCTTAAGCAATTCCCCTGCCTCAGCCTCCAGAGTAGCTGGGATTACAGGTGCACACCACCACATCCGGCTAATTTTTTTGTATTTTAGTAGAGACGGGGTTTCACCATGTTGGCCAGGATAGTCTCAAACTCCTGATCTCGTGATCCACCTGCCTTGGCCTCCCAAAGTACTGGGATTACAGACATGAGCCACCGCACCCAGGCAAAAAATTTTAAAAATTAAAATTAAAAGTCTCTGGCTGGGTGCAGTGGCTCACACCTGTAATCCCAGCACTCTGGGAAGCCAAGATGGGCAGATCACAAGGTCAGGAGATCAAGACCATTCTGGCCATCATGGTGAAACCCCGTCTGTACTAAAATACAAAAGATTAGCCGGGCATGGTGGTACGCTCCTGTAGTCCCCGCTACTCAGGAGGCTGAGACAGGAGAATTGCTTGAGCCAGGGAGGTGGAGGTTGCAGTGAGCCAAGATCACACCACTGCACTCCAGCCTGGTGACAGAGCAAGAAAGATTGGTGAAAGTTCAGGATTTAGATTCTCCCTTCAAAATAAGTTTCACCCTCAACACTCAATCTCACAATTTCATGGTATTTGATATGCCCAATCCATCCCTCACCCCTTCAGGTGTCCTTGGACCCCAGGGGAAGAATCTTGACTTTCAAGGACATGCCTTCCGTGTAAGGGGAGGACATGAACCCCCTCACAAAGCCGGGTTTCACGGCTCACCCCTGTAATCCCAGCACTTTGAGAGGCTAAGGCCAGAGGATCACTTGAGCACAGGAGTTTAAGACTAGTCTGGGCAACATAAGGAGAACCTGTCTTTACAAAAAATTTTAAAAAATTAGCTGGGCATGGTGGTACATGTCTGTAGTCCCAGCTACTCAGAAGGCTGAGGTGGGAGGATCACTTGAGCCCAGAAAGTCGAGGCTGCAGTGAACTATGATCACAGCAGTGCACCACTGCAGCCTAGGCGACAGTGAGACTTTGTCTCAAAAACAGAACAGGCCAGGCCCAGTGGCTCATGCCTGTAATCTCAACACTTTGGGAGGCCAAGATGGGTGGAACACCTGAGCAGGAATTCTCGACCAATCTGACCAACATGCTAAAACCCTGTCTACTAAAAAATACAAAAATTAGCCAGGTGTGGTGGGTGCATGCCTGTACTCCCAGCTACTCGGGATGCTGAGGAAGGAGAATCACTTGAACCTGGGAGGCAGAGGTTGCAGTGAGCCGAGGTCGCACCACTGCACTCCAACCTGGGCAACAGAGTGAGACTCCATTTCACAAATAAAAACAAGCCTGGGCCCTGTGGCTCACACCTGTAATCTCAACACTTTGGGAAGCCGGAGTGGATGGATCACTTGAGGTTAGGAATTCGAAACCAGCCTGACCAACATGGTGAAACCCCATCTCTACTAAGAATACAAAAATTACCTGGACGTGGTGGTGTGCGCCTGTAATCCCAGCTACTCTGGAGGCTAAGGCAGGAGAACTGCTTGAACCAGGGAGGCGGAAGTTGCAGTGAACCGATATCAGGCCACTGCACTCCAGCCTGGGCAATAGAGTGAGACCCCCTTTCAAACAAAAATAAAAACAGAACTAAACAAAATGGTCACTGCTTGTATCCTGCTGACCGCCATTCTTCAATCCTCCCCATGACCCCATCCGCTCCGGGCAGTGTCTCCTTCTGCACATTCCTGGCACACGAGTACCCAGACCTAGTGCACAAGGTGATCATGATCAATGGTGGGGGCCCTACGGCGCTGGAGCCCAGCTTCTGCTCAATCTTCAACATGCCCACCTGCGTTCTGCACTGCTTGTCGCCCTGCCTGGCCTGGAGCTTCCTCAAGTGAGTGCCCCCACCCCAAAGACCCTGGTGAACCCAAGCGTCTCCCCGAGTTGGGTGGGAGGGGAAGCTGTACCCCTGGGACCAGGGCTGGCATCGCGGGCACCCCGTGGCAGCCAGGCTGGCATGAGGGGCTCTAGCGGTGCCTCCACCACCACCAGGGCCGGCTTCGCCCGCCAAGGAGCCAAGGAGAAGCAGCTGTTAAAGGAGGGCAACGCTTTCAACGTGTCATCCTTCGTGCTGCGGGCCATGATGAGCGGACAGTACTGGCCCGAGGGTGACGAGGTCTACCACGCCGAGCTCACCGTGCCCGTCCTGCTTGTCCACGGCATGCACGATAAGTTTGTGCCAGTGGAGGAAGACCAGCGCATGGCCGAGGTAGAGGCGGGCACCCGGGGCGCCATAGCTACAAATCCCCAGGGGTGCAGCCCGGGGGGCCTTGGCCTCTGAGGGGGCGGGGAGGGGGAGGAGGGGAAGGGCATAGTATCGTTTGCTGGGCGTGCTTTCTTCCCGGAGGCGTGGCCGCCGTGGGGGCGTGGTCTCCAGATGTTTTATCTTGCATTCTGATCCCAAGCAAACAGGAGCATTAGGTAGAATCTAGAAAGTTGGGCTGCCCTGGACAGATGTTAGCAATTATGCACTGTCCCCGCCGCATGTAAGAAGGCTCTCCTCACAGCAGAGGATTTGTGTAAGAGACCAGTGACCTATATAATTCTAGGAGAGGGGCACCAGGGGATCTTTAGATTAGAAACTCTAATTAGCCAGTTCAGATTAGAAAGGGTCTGGGGATCCTTAGCACTTAGAATAGACCTGGATACTAGCCCGGTGAGGTGGTTCACGCTGATAATCACTGCAACTTGGAAGGCTGATGGGGGAGGATCGCTTGAACCCAGGAGTTCAAGGCTGCAGTGAACTATGCTCGCACCGCTGCACTCCAGCCTGGGCGACAGAGCAAGACCCTGTTTCTGAAAAAAAAAAAAAAATAGCTCTGGACTGGTGGTTTTTTATTTTGTTTTTTTTATTTATTTATATTGAGATGGAGTCTTGCTCTGTCGCCCAGGCTAGAGTGCAGTGGCGCCATCGGCTCACTGCAACCTCTGCCTTCCGGGTTCAAGCGATTCTCCTGCCTCAGCCTCCTGAGGAGTTGGGATTACAGGTGCCTGGCTAATTTTTGTAATTTTAGTAGAGACAGGGTTTCACCATCTTGGCCAGGGTGGTCTCAAACTCCTGACCTCGTGATCTACCCAACTCAGCCTCCCAAAGTGCTGGGATTACAGACATGAGCCACCGCGCCCGGCCTGGACTGGTGGTTCTTAACTAAGGAGGAGTCTGTCCCCAAGGAACACGTGGAAATGCATGGAGACATTAATTGGGTGTCATAACTGAGGGGGAGAGGGTACTCCTGGCATCTGGTGGGTGGAGGCTAAGGGATGCTGCTCAACACTCTACAAATGCACAGGATAGCACCCCCACACCAGCTACGCGCCCCCTCCACCACCCCCTCTTCTACCAGAGAATGATCCAGCCCCCTAATGTTGGTAGAGTTGACGTTGAGAAAATCCTCCTCTGGGCCGGGCGTGGTGGCTCATGCCTGTAATCCCAGCACTTTGGGAAGCCAGGGCAGGCAGATCACCTGAGCTGGAGTTGGAGACCAGCCTGGCTAACATGGCAAAACCCCGTCTCTATTAAAAATACAAAAATTAGTCGGGCGTGGTGGCAGGCACCTGTAATCACAGCTACTCACAAGGCTGAAGCAGGAGAATCACTTGAACCCAGGAGGTGGAGGTTGCAGTGAGTGGAGATCGCACTACTGCACTCCAGCCTGAGTGGCAGAGCGAGACTCCCGTCTCAAAAAAATTTTTAAAAAAAGGCCGAGCGTGGTGGCTCACACCTGTAATCCCAGCACTTTGGGAGGCCGAGGTGGGCGGATCACCTGAGGTCAGGAGTTCGAGACCAGCCTGACCAACATGGAGAAACCCCATCTTTACTAAAAAACACAAAATTAGCCAGACATGGTGGCACATGCCTGTAATCCCAGCTACTTTGAAGGCTGCAAAAGAGAAATAAGGAAAGAAAGAATGAATGAATGAAAGAAAGAAAAAAGAGAAAGAAAGGAAAGAAAATCCTCCTCCGGGCATACTGTAGGCACTTAATAAATGCTGGATGCCTGAATACTAGTTGGGCTCCCGCAGGGCAACAGGCCATTCTCCAGCTCTCCGTCGGGTGGAAGTGGAGGGAGGCAGGATAGGTGGGAAGAGGGACTCTTGGATGCTGCGGGCCACGTGTGGTTGGCGGAGTCCCAGGGAAGCCTGGCCTCTCGCCCCACCCTCCTGCCCCTGCCTATCCTGAGCCCCGCGTCTTCGGCAGATCCTGCTCTTGGCATTCCTGAAGCTCATCGACGAGGGCAGCCACATGGTGATGCTGGAATGCCCCGAGACGGTCAACACGCTGCTCCACGAATTCCTGCTCTGGGAGCCCGAGCCCTCGCCCAGGGCTCTGCCCGAGCCACTGCCGGCGCCTCCAGAAGACAAGAAGTAGCCGCCAGGCCGGCGGGGCATCGCTTGGTGAGCACAGCCACGGCAGGAGAGGCCGGAGCCCGCGCCGGGTCTGCAGCGCAGACCACCTGGGCGGGCCTTTCGCTCCGGTGGGCGTGGCCAGGTCAGGGAGACGCCCCCAGGCTGGCTGGGCGGGGCGTGGCATCCGAGGGAGCCCAGCGGACACTCCGCTCTCTGCTTCCGTCCCGCGGTGCCCATCGGCGTTTCGGGGCCGCAGCCGGGACCCTCGCGGAAGATGACCTTGTACAGAAGCTCTTCCTCACCTTTCCCCCAACGCCAAGGCCGAGGCAGGCTCCCCACCCCGCTCTCTGTCTTCAGTGTCAGCCGTGCTTGATCCCGGGACCCACGAGCCCTGCAGGGACCCTCGGGGCCCCGTCCCGTTGCCCGAGACCCTCCCTACCCCACATTCCTCGGCGCTGGGAGCTATTTTTGCCCAAGGCGGGAGGGATGGGGGGGCTGGCGCCACCGAACCTGCACATCTCAACTTGTAACTCAATAAACAGAAGTGACAATCGGAGTCTCCGGACCTGCTGCTGGGTGACCATAGGGAAGGGTGTTCACCGCCCAGAGCCTCAGTTTTCCCATCTGTAGAATGGGCTCAGGCTGGTGCCTCGCGCTCAGGATGGACTCTACAATGTCGGGAATCCAGGTTAGCTGCCTGAATTTCCCCTCCCACCTCAGAAGGCAGGGGCTCCTTGGACAGTATCCCAAGGGCAGGAGGCAACTTACCAAGAGGTGAGCCCGGCCGGGCATGGTGGCTCATGCCTGTAATCCCAGCACTTTGGGAGGCGGAGGCAGGAGGATCACCTGAGGTCCGGAGTTAGAGACTAGCCTGGCCAACAAGGTGAAACCCCGGCTCTTCTGAAAAATAGAAAAATGAGCCAGGCATGGTGGTGCGCGCCTGAAGTCCCAGCTACTCGGGGAGCCCGAGGCGGGAGAATCGCTTGAACCCACGAGGTGGAGGTTGCAGTGAGTCGAGACCTTGCCACTGCGCTCCAGCCTGGGCAACAGGCCAGGCTGTTGAGACTCCGTCTCAAAAAAAAAAAAAAAGCGAGCCCTTCCCTGGCCGGAAGAGATCCAACTGACATTTAGGTAGTAGGCACTGCAGGGAATTAGAGCTGCCATAATTGAGTGCCCACTGTATTCCAGGCTATGTGTTGAGTCCCTGCCACCCACTGGTTCATGAATTCCACTCACCCAACCCCACCCAGCAAGCTAGGACCTTTTACTATTCCCATGTTATACCATTCAACTTGGCGTAGGGTCACCTTTTTCATGAAGAATTTTCTTTTGAAACCACCAAGTCTGTCTTTTCCTTTTATGTCCTGCTGAAGGACTTTCAGCCCCAGTCCATGCATTTGTGCCTCTATTATTCTTTCTTTTCTTTTTTTGGAGACAGAGTTTCACCCTTGTCACCACAACTGGAGTGCAATCATGAGATCTCAGCTCACTGCAACCTCCGCCTCCCATATTGAAGTAAATCTCCTGCCTCAGCCTCTTGAGTAGCTGGGACTACAGGTATGAGCCACCATGCCTGGCTTTTTTTTTTTTTTTTTTTTTTTCTTTTGAGACAGGAATTTGCTCTGTCACCCAGGCTTGGAGTGCACTGATGTAATCACAACTCACTGCAGCCTCAACCTCCCAGGCTGAAGCGATCCTCCTGCCTCAGCCCCCCAAATAGCCAGGACTATATGTGCGTGCCACCTCATCTAGCTAATTTTTATATTTTTTGTAGCGACGGAGTCTCGCTATGTTGCCCAGGCTTGTCTTAAACTGCTGGCCTCTGACAAGGTGACTCACACCTCTAATCCCAGCACTTTGGGAGGCTGAGACAGGTAGGTCAGGAGTTCAAAACCAGCCTGACCAAGACAGTGAAACCGCATCTCTACTAAAAATACAAAAATTAGCTGGGCGTGGTGGCAGGCACCTGTAATCCCAGCTACTTGAGAGGCTGAGGCAGGAGAATCGCTTGATGGGGGAGGCAGAGGTTGCAGTGAGCAGAGATCGCGCCACTGCACTTCAGCCTGGGAGATAAGAGCAAGACTCAGTCTCAAAAAAAAAGAAAAAAAAAAATTCTGACAGTGGTCAAAAAGAAAAGAATAAAAAAGCAAAGAAAATTAAAAAAAAAAAAAATCTCCTGGCTTCAAGTGATCCTCCCACTTCGGCCTCCCAATGTGCTAGGATTACAGGTGTGAGCCACAGCACCCCACCTACATTTTATTCTGGTGCATACATATCCAGGCCTATCTGCAGTTTGTGTAAATTACGGGGGAGGCGGGGAGGGATGAAATCCTTCCCTCCGTTCTGTCCTTTCCCCACTGGTCTGTGAGTCTCATCTTTAGTTTAGACCGGGGTGGGGGGGGCGGCAATGGTGTCCATTGGCAGCTTCTGGCATGTTGGGGGTGAATGGGTGCTGCTGGCTTCTAGTGGAAGGAGGTGAGGGGTGATCATCATCCTGCATTGCACCGGACAGACCCCACAGCAAAGAATAAGCCAACCCCAAATGTCATTAGGACCAAGATTGGGAAACCCTGCTTTAGACAAATGCCATCTCTTTTGGGTCTTTTGGAGGCTCTGGATTCTTTGCCAAAGTTCTGATTGTGTATTCCGGGGTGATGGCACAGTGTCATAACTCCTGTGGCTTTATTAGATTTGGCACTTGGGAGGCAATTCCTGTTTTACTTATTTTCTTCTCTTGTTTTTTCTTTTTGTTTTTGAGACAAGTCTCTGTCGCCCAGGCTGGAGTGCAATGGCACGATCTCGGCTCACTGCAACCTCCACCTCCCGGGTTCAAGCGATTCTCTTGCCTCAGCCTCCTGAATAGCTGGGACTACAGGCGCGTGCCACCACGCATGGCTAATTTTTTGTATTTTTAGTAGAGACGGAGTTTCACCATGTTAGCCAGGATGGTCTGAAACTCCTGACCTCATAATCTGGCCTCCAAAAGTGCTGGGATTACAGGCATGAGCCACCTCGCTTGGCCTTTGTTTTTTTTGTTTGTTTTGTTTGTTTTTGAGATGGAGTCTCGTCCCTGTCATCCAGGCTGGAGTGCAGTGGTGAAACCTCAGCTCACTTCAACCACCACCTCCGGGGTTCAAGCAATTCGCCTGTATCAGCCTCCTCAGTAGCTGCTGGGATTACAGGCACCCACCACCACACCCGCGTAATTTTATTTTTATTTTTTTAGAGATGGGGTTTCACTTTGTTGGCCTTGATGGTCTTCCATCTCTTGACCTTGTGATCCGCCCACTTCAACCTCCCACTGCGCCTGACCAATTTTTGTATTTTTAGTAGAGACGGGGTTTCACCCTGTTGGCCAGGCTGGGCTTGAACTCCTGACCTCAAGTGTATGATACACCCGCCTCGGCTTCTCAAAGTTCTGGGATTACAGGCGTGAGCCACTATTCAGGCCCCTGTTTTACACTTGAGGAAGGTGAAGCTGAGGGAGCAGTTTCTTCTGCTCGATTACAAGTAGTCAAGCCCAAACCCACTCCAGAGACTGGACCCCCAACCACAATACCAGCCATTCCCCGAGGAGCAGCGGGGGCTCAGCAGTGGCGAGGCCTGTGGAACCCAGGCCAGGGTCACAGTCCGCCCCCTGCGGGACCTGGTTGGCTAAAGCGCCGTGATGATGGGCAGGTCCTGAAGCCAATGAGGCCGCGGATCTCTCCAAGTCCCTAAATCCACTGGGTCCTTTGAAAAAGCGACTTCCAGAAGCTTAAATACCCTCGACCCCGCCCTCCGGCAACCAGACCGCTGGCGTCTCACCAGGATGGCGGCTTGGTGTTTACTGAAGATCTTTGCACGTGAATGGGCTGAAGTCGCATAGCATCGCTGTGAAATCGGATTATTACATTTATTTATTTATTTGTGAGACGGAGTCTCGCTCTGCCGCCCAGGCTGGAGAGCAATGGCGCGATCTCGGCTCACCGCAACCTCGGCCTCCGGGGTTCAAGCGATTCTCCCGGCTCAGCCTCTCGAGTAGCTGGGACTACAGGTGAGCGCCACGACGCCCGGCTAATTTTTTTTGTATTTTCGGTAGAGACAAAGTTTCACCGTGTTAGCCAGGATGGTCTCGATCTCCTGACCTCGTGATCCACCTGCCTCGGCCTCCCAAAGTGTTGGGATAATGGGCGCGAGCCACCGCTCCCGGCCCTAAATTTTAGTTTTTTAAGAGACAGGATCTCGATATCCCCCAGGCTGGAGTGCAGTGCTGTGATCTCAGCTCCTTGCAGCCTCCAGCTCCCACACTCAAGCAATCCTCCCACCTCAGGCCCCCAAGCAGCTGTGGCCACAGGCCCTCCCACCACTAGCTAATGCTTTTACTTTTTGTAGATATATACTTTGCTATGTTGTCCAGGCTGCTCTCAAACTCGTGGGCCCATGCTATCCTCCTGCCTCAGCCTCCCAAAATGCTGAGATTACAGGCATGGTGTCCAGCCCCCATGTGACCACATTTAATCCCTACACTGACTCCCCAGGAGTGGGACCTCTTTACTGCCCGTGTACAGCGAGGGAAACCAAGGCTCAGACAGATAAAATACTGGTTCGAGGTCTCACAGCTGGGAAGCAGTGAACTTTGCTCTGGAGCTGGGTAGATACCCTGAGTGTACCTGAGGATCCCCCAGTTCATCCCGCCATGTAGGGGTGTCCTGTGTCTGGGAGGTAAAATCAGGCTCTATCCATTTTGACGGGACCAAACTGCCAAAGTGTTACCAGAAAGAGGTCCTGATCCAGACCCCAAGAGAGGGTTCTTCAATCTCACACTAGAAAGAATTCAGGGCAAGTTGAGAGTACAGTGAAAGCAAATTTATTAAGAAATTAGGCCGGGCGCGATGGCTCACGCCTGTAATCCCAGCACTTTGGGAGGCCGAGGCAGGTGGATCATGAGGTCAAGAGATCAAGACCATCCTGGCCAACATGGTGAAACCCCGTCTCTACTAAAACTACAAAAAATTAGCTGGGCATGGTGGCACGTGCCTGTAATCCCAGCTACTCAGGAGGCTGAGGCAGGAGAATTGCCTGAACCCAGGAGGCGGAGGTTGCGGTGAGCCGAGATCGCGCCATTGCGCTCCAGCCTGGGTCACAAGAGCGAAACTCTGTCTCAAAAAAAAAAAAAAAAAGGAAATTAAAGGGGCTGGGCGCGATGGCTCACGCCTGTAATCCCAGCACTCTGGGAGGGCGAGGTGGGCGGATCACAAGGTCCGGAGACAGAGACCATCCTGGCCAACATGGTGAAAACCCGTCTCTACTAAAAATACAAAAAAATTAGCTGGGCGTGGTGGCTCACGCCTATAATGCCAGTGCTAGGATTACAAGCATGAGACACCACTCCTGGCCTGCCATGGCATTTGTAAACTCGGGAGGCTGAGGCAGGAGAATTGCTTGAATCCAGGAGGTGGAGATTCAGTGAGCCGAGATCACACCACTGCACTACAGCCTGGGCGACAGTGTGAGACTCTGTCTCAAAAAAAAAAAAAAAAAAAGAAATTAAAGGAATAAAAGAATGGCTCCTCC